GTTGGTGCTAGTACTTCATGAGGAAGTGTAAAGGATAATCACAGTGGTTTTGTCGAAGTGCTGCTGCTCCTGCTGCTGCTGTTGCTGGTGCTGGTGCTGGTGCTGGTGCTGGTGCTGGTGCTGGTGCTGGTGCTGCTGTTGTTGTTGTTGTTGTGGTTGCTGTTGTTGTCGTCGTTGTTGTGATCGTCGTCGTCGTCGCTGTGCTTGTTGTTGTTATTGCTATTCGTCTTTTTGATTGTTATCGCCATTTGTTCTCGTTGTTCTTGTTATTGGTCTTCTTACGGCTTGTTTGTTTTCCTGCTGTCGTCTTAGTCGGCGGCGTTTTTGTCTTCGTCATCGCTGTTCTTGTAGTTGCCGTGTCGATGATTTTGGTCGTGGTTAGAAGTTAGATGATCAAACAGACATGCAACCTCAACAGTAAATGAATCCTTGGCCAGAACACAACGAGGGCTGTTGCGAGCCCTTTGTTGCCCCTCTAGCGAGACAGGCGCCAAAGTTGTCACCCCGTTTGGCGGCTCGTTTCCCTTTGCGGTGACGTGGCAAGGTCCGGAGTTTGAAGGGTGTAGTTACATATAGTTGCGTGGGCGGAATCGAACTTACGCTCTTGAGGGGATTCGAAAGTTCCAGCTGGGGCCAACATGTCAGGCACAGAAACTTTTAGATACATCTGGAGTGTTTTGCAAAAGTTTGCAAGCATTTGCATGGGGTCTCCAGATCCGACTAAATCGTAGGACTAATTCAAAAAGACCTTGCTTATCCCTCGGCACACACCGTGTAGCTGCAGAGGATGTGCCACGCAGAATCGTTCCTCTGGTCTTGATTTGCAGCGCAGGCTGGATGATGAAGACTTCTCCACGGAAGAAAGGAGAAGAGGCGGGAAGGTGGGCCATATGTCGAGCCCTAAAAGCAAGTTGATGTCAGGTCGGCTGAAACGCAAGAAGACGTCGTTGCTGCTTGGACAGCAGAACGATGGGCCTATCATGGCCCATCCACCCGCCGAGTAGGTAGCCTGGAATTGATCGTCAGTGTCGAGGTTTCACGTCAATCAGTGAGGCCGGAAGGGTCGTACGACCATGCGCACGACCTCTCTGGTTGGCCCACAGCGCCTTTGCTGAAATCGCTCGGGTGTGTCTTCTCAGCCCCAGCAGCCCAGCACGTCCAAATGCCCAAGTCCCAGAAGCCAAGGATGAAGATGAGTTCACCTGGCGAGTGACACGCCCAGATGGCCCAAAGCTCTCGGCATGGCTGTGTCGTATTGGTTTGGATCTGTTCAATAACTTCTACAGCTTAGTGACGTGCTCAGAATAATCTGCATTTCTGACTGACGCTCGGCACTCGCCACAAACCGTGAAGGCGGGGGCTGTGCGCAGCAGACCTGTGTGCCGTCGGTTGTCTGGTCATACAGTGTTCCGTTTTGTCCATGGAGTCTGGTGACGGCTTGGGGGTGGCAATGCCCACCTGAGATTTCCCAGTATGCCACTGCTTCCTTCCAATCCTTCGTTCGAGACCTGGAAGGATGTTATAGCAGCGCTTGCAGAAAGCCTCGTGCAGCTTCTGAGGCTGAGCACACACGCTCTCAGATCAGGACTGCTGCATTGCTGCACGGTTAAACACAGACGAGCAGTCAACAGAATATCCTGTGAGTCTGTGAGGGCTGGGACCTCTTGTAAGAGCTGCCGCTTAAGATCGGGCCCCGAGATCTGAGACTCAGAGCCGCCCTCTGCATATTTCAGGGGCAGAAAGCGTCGCCTGTGGTTAGAGGCAATAGCACCTTCCGGGATCATCCGGGACTTCCAGGAGCACCGCTCACTCCACCATCTTGGCGAGCGCACTCTTGTGGCCGCGCTCTCAGAGTCGACCCAACGAAGCCCCACATGTGAGATGCAGGGCGGTGCCTGTCGAGCTTAGCCGCGGCTTGGAAGCGTAGAAAGCCCATGCCCCAAACACAACACGGTTAGTCACCTGGGAGGCTGGCGATGCTCGTCTGGGCCATCCTAACGTACTGGCTGGCCTCGGGCTTAGAGGCACGCCGGCCAGGCTGGTGCCGGGACTTTTGCTGGCCTGGTCTGCCATGTCTGAGTTGCTCACTCGGTCGCTGGGAGATTCCTATATAGACACCGAGTCGATGGTAGCCAAACACAGCTTCTGCTTCTGTTGCCCTTTGCCAGTTTTCAAGGCAAAGCCGGTGAGCCAGTGGCAGTGCCCCAGACCCGCAATTTGAGATCTATGTTCTACAGTGCTGGCATCTAGAGGGTTTTGGTGACGATCTTTGGCTGTGACGTGGGAAGGTGATGCTGGCGTCTGTTGCTACAGCGTCTTTGGGTCCGTTTGGGAGTCTACAGCGCGTGGCAGCATTGACTCGCAGGTACGCCGTGCTATCAGAGGACTGTGATTGATTCAACTTGTTTCTTTGGTCCAGTGGTTCCTAGTTCCGAGGTGTATATCTCCTATAGGCGTAAAGTGCGAGTGAAGCCGGCGCAATTCATGGCCAGGAGCAGCCCGAAATAGCATGGCCCAGCCCGCTTTTCAGGCAAGGGCGTCGTAAGGGTCATGATCGTCGTCGCGTCCTCGGTGTCCTTCGTCGCACTATAAACATCAAGAAGGATTCGACTAGAGTTTGCCGGCTCTAACTCTTGAGCCCATGCCTTTCCAGTGCAGGCCAACTTTGCTGGCCTGTGCCGGCGGCATGACTGCTGTCTCCGACGGGCCTGGGCCATGGTCAGAGCCCGAAGATCCCACGGATTCGGTCAGAGCGCTCTGTGTTGCGAGGTTTCGGATCTATTCGCTCAGCCTCCGAGGAGGTCGAGCACAACCCGCCAGAAGCCTCAGAACTGTGTTGCAGTCACATAATGAACAGGACATCGCCGAGGAGGCCTAGCAACATGGGGGGACTAAGCCAAACCCAAAGATGTTCATGACTATGGCGACGGAGGTGAAGGGGAGCAGGAAGAAGAGGATTAGCCCATGGTTTACTGTAGTTGAATATTACGGGAGGAGTGACTGAGACTGCGCTCTTCCGTGATGCCCCAACAAGGTCTCCGTCTGACTGAGACTCCGAGTGTAGGAGATCCCATCATGATGGTGGACAAGCAGCATACCTTCTCGCAATATTTTCCAGGACCGTCTAGTGCAGGCTGTCGCACGGATCAGAGGTCTGGTTCCCCCCGGCTAGAATCATAAGACCCGACCAGCTCCTTTCAGCATCTCGGAGTCACTGAGGTATCCTGCCCCGGCTTGACAGGAAGCATCCGGGATCTCAGCATTGCATGTGATCCCGAGGCGAAGTGGGTCTATTATAGCTTTTAATCGCTTGGGTCTTCGGAGTGCTGTCCTGCAGCCGCCCAGCCGTGCAACAATTCCCTGCTACTCTGGCCCAAGCGAAGGAACTCAGACGGCTAACATGAACTTACCTTCCGAAGCGGACTGCTCTCAGATCATGCCGTTTGAGTGGGAAAGCCTGATCCCCGAAGTAGAGGATTCTACGACTTGTGGCTAAACCGATCTCTTCCTCCTGTGTGAGATGGAGGGTTTTGTGGCGCCACGAGCGCCCGGCACGCTGCAGACCCGACGAGTGGGGCCCCAACCCCGTGACTCGACGATCACGACATGAGATGAAAAGGATGGCCAGAACAACACCTGTCTGCTATGTTGGACGATGTTCGCACAATGATGCTGTACATCATTAGCCGCCGATCTGAGTTCCCCGTAAATTTCGAACCCCAACACCCCTCAACCGGAGCTGTGCAATAGCGGGCTGAGCTTCTTAGCACTGGCTCGCACAAGTTACGAGTCCATCAGAGTGGTTGGAGGTTGAGTTTATCGGGCGTTGAGTTGCACGTGTTTCTGAACAGCTGGCATGCTAGGCATAATTACCCACTTTAGATTGCACCTCAGGTATTGCGGCAGTCGCAGCACCAGTTGCCGATCCCAGCAAAGCTGCAGTCGGCAGGGACAACTTTACTTTCGGGCTTTGCGCCGTTTCGATACCCTTGCTCCTGCGGCGGCACACACGTGCCCAGCACAGATGTGCAGCACGGGCGACGCGGGCCGTCGAAGTTGCGGTCACCGATCGAGGCCATGTTATTTTGAATGTGGGCAACTAACTTGGCAATTAGGACGCTCAAACCAATGCCAACGCATGCAGCTGACCTTGCACGTGCCCATAGAGCTAGTCAAGTGCCGACATGTCGGACTGATTCGGAGCGAGTACTCTTCCGTTTGCTGGACACGACAAATGCTGCGCATAGTGAAAACGTTACATGCAATCTTCACCTACACAGAATCTTTCACTCGATGGCAGCTGATGTTTCCGATCGTGGCCGAGTTAATCTGACGGTGGACGTGCTAAGACAGGGTTGGCTTGCTGCACGACCCCGAGCATTCCAGAATCCCCAGCCCTCAGCTGCCTGCAAGGTGCTAACTTCACAGAAAGCAGGGCCTCGGACGCAGCCCACCACCAGAGTGAGGTCAACGAGGCCAGGACCCACGTAAAGTACAGGTCGTTGAAAAGGGGTCAACATAAACGAGCCAATCTAGGTGAGCTATCTCGCAGTTGGGAAGGCAGATTGACCGCTTTGAATATGGGAGCGGGGCTTAGGAAACTCATCAGGTGCCAGTTGACTTGGAGTCTGCTGATGCGCACCTTTAGTATCTTCCAGGAGCCTTCTGCAGTGGTTGACCAAAGCCGCCTTGGTGTCCGCAATCCGAGATTTGCCACTGGGCTCCAGAGTAGGGCCGGGGTGAGGGAGTGGATGAAGGTGTTTCTTGGTGAGCTGTTTTTTGGCCTTTTGATTGGAGCCGCCAGGAAGACGAACAGGAGAGCGAGAAGGCAATGAAGGAAGGAAGGCAAGAAGGAAGGAAGGAAGGCAGGAAGGAAGGAACAACAATTGAAATTCCACAATAGTTTGCCGTAGAGAAGAAGCCTGCAACTTTGAATTCGGCAACAGCTTGCCGCAAGAAAGGAAGCTTGACAAATTGCAATTCCTTAGGAGCTTGCAGGCTTCCCGGAAATCGGAACTGGGCATTTTGCAATTCCCCACTAGCCTGCGACAATAGATTTGAGAACTGCAATGGTCAATACCTTGCCTGAAATCGAGCCTTGGCAATGGACTTGACAATTCCGCTTTCCATGAACTTCCCAATAGCTTGCCGGAAAAAGAGACCTGGCACGATGCAATTCCCTGGTAGCTGGACACTACACGTGTAACAAGGAGCAAACAACAAACACAATTCTCCAAACAAACAAATGAATCTTGACCCAATGCAAATTCCGGTTTCATCTCGCATCGTGCGTTTGTCAGGAGTCTAAATCTGGCACTTTTGAAGTCCGTTGTTGTTTTAAGGTCAATTCCTTTGCTTCGGGGGTTTGTGTGGTTTAGAGGCATGCTTGCTGGTTGTTGTTCGCGCCGGTTCTGTCAGTCAGTCGATGGGAGTCTTCCGTTTCACAGCTGCGGCCATGAACTTTCCGGTAGCTTCATGGAGTCGTCGATCGATGTCCTTTTTTCCTGGCTACAATCCACAAGGCAACTGACGTCGGAAGGCCTCCCAGTAAGCACTTCGAAACCAAAACCTCCGAAGCCGGTTGACCAGAAATCATACAACTCGTGCAGCTCGAACTCCATGAGCCTTCGGCATTTAAGGTGAGCAGGGCTGAGCGAGCGCCTTGGGGGCCTTTGCCCTATGCGGTTGCAACGGAGGCCGTGGCCAGGGTCTCATGCCTTCCTGTTTTTGTTGGTGGGTTTGGGTGTGGGGATGGGTCCTGCTTGCTTTCGACTTGTGGCTTTGCAGGAGATGCTCGCCGAGCCGCAAGTGGAGTTGATGCTGCACTGCATAATGTTGTTCGAGTCAGAGTAGAATTACTGGGTTTCAATGCATACTGTGCTCTCAATAAGCTTCGAATCGAGAACAGACCCCGCCTTGTTGCCGTAGTGACAGCGGCAGATTACATCTAGGGTGTGTCGATTTCCCGAAACCGGAAGCCGCTAAGCCGAGATGTGCTGGTCTTTATCAGGGCACAGCTGAGGATTGTGGTCGCATGTGTGCTTCTGCTGCTGGGCATGGTTTGATCATGTGTGACCAAAGACACAAACCCTCTTTCCTTCACCCATCCCGCGCTGCAGTCAGGTAAGAGGTGCAATGTCGCACGCAAGTTCACATTCACCTCTTACCCGCTGCTACCATAGCGAGTGAATCCGGCTAGACATGCCGTGGAGCCCCAAACGCCGCCGCTTGTCCCTCCAAGATCCTCACTGCTCGTCGCGCTGGAGACGCTTCCCGTCCTTAGCCAGCCAGGCAAGCTGCCTGCACAGGCTCTGAGACTCCCCGTCTGAAATCAAATTTGTAGGTCTTAGCAAGTGAAGTGCCATGGGAAATCATTAATTTGGCGACCCGGGGCCGTCACAATCTTGGACACCCACACCCCTTTAAACGTCCGAATCCGCTTACCTCGACTGCAACAGGCTGGCAAGACGTGGCGACTTTGCTAGCTGGCCTGGAGAACGGGAACCTCGGCAAATGGGTCCGGGTTTTGGCATGTGCAGTGGCAAGCAGACCTAAACACCGTGTGATTTCCGTGAGCTTTTCACGTCTCGTAGTCTTTCGCGCTCCCGGAATCACAGGATCTGCGCTGTCTTCATGGTCGAATTCGCCATACGGTGGTACTCGCGCTCACTGCGCCCGACCTACATTCTGAAGCCGCTTCCTGGTCTCAAACGCATGGGAAACCTATGTCTCTCCCTCTCTCTCTCTCTCTGTCTCTCTGTCTCTGTCATTCTGTGCGAGCCGGGCCTTGAGCTTCTCGGCTGTTGGCTTTTCGCAGAGAGGTTGGTGATCATTGACATCCTCGCATTCCTCCCCTTGCTTCTCCGCCTGATGGGCATCACGCAATCAGGCGGGCCCTGCACTCAGCTCTGAAAATGACAGGCATAAAGAAAGCCATTAAAGCCTGAACCGCCTGAACTCCTCAAAGTCTGCGAGGCAAGGGCGGCCTTTCCTAAAAACTCATCTCAGACACCGCAACTGATTCTAGATGCGGGTTCCTGCATAGCATGTCACCCCAAAGCGTTTGAATCCACCTCGGCTCAGACACCATGGCCGCAGTCATTGCTGGCGTCAGGCTTCTGGACTGGATTTCAGGACTGCCGGAAGGCTCCAGATAGAAAGCATCAATCCGGTCAGCCCAGGCTGCTTCGTGTCTTTCGCCTCCAGCGGTTTCTTCAAGACTACGATGGCTTTTTGACACTGGCATCGAAAGGCGTGGGCAGGGCTCAAGACGATGCGAAAAGGATTGCTATCGGAGGAACACTTGGTCATCAACGTGGCTTCACGCTTGGCGCTTTGTTCCCGTAACCTGCTTGACTGCAGGGCTCGGGATCGACCCGAAGTACGTCACACCGGTCCAGCTGGAAGCGGCCCAGCTGTGTTTGGCAAGAATGCTGCGTTCACGGCCATGGTGACCTGCAAGACCTGTTCCTGATGGTCGCGTAGGTGTAGGGCGGTTTATACGTCTACAGCCCGCGCCCAAGATCAAGGTGACTCGAGTCCTCCTATCGATTTTCACGCTGCTCTACACTGCGACAGGTGGAAGGGCAGCGGGGAGTTGGAGTTTTTACCACTTGTGAAGCGTTGAGTTTAGCGTGGCTTTAAGCGATGATCTCATTCTAGCATCTTGGTGGGGAGCCACGGTTAGATTTGGCTAGATTCTTTTGAGTCAACTGTGTGTCCCAAGCATCCTGGCACCAGGGGCGATTTATGCCGCGGAGCACGATGTGAACCCGCAGTTTCCGGAGCGGGTTTTTTGAGACGCATGTCACGTCAATTTGAAGATCCCGAGCGCCAGAGCCTTTTCTTCCCGAAAACCCGCACTTCTGCCCTGTTTCAGGACTTCTTCACTGCCTTGTACTTTGGATTGACCACGTTGACAACTGTGGGTTTTGGCGACATTACGCCAATCACCGCCCAAGGCTGGACCCTCACGAACACTGAACAATACTGAACACTTTACTGGCATTTACTGGCTTTAGAGCTCCTGCGAAGAGGGAGATATAGAAGGCAGCCCAGAAGAATGCAGGAAACTCGCCCAAGCTGCCAGGTCGTCTGGTGGTGGCTGCATCCATTTTGGCAGGAGTGTTTTGTGAGCGTTTCGATACATCCCGGAGTCCCAAGTGCCCTTGGCAAGCTCCTCCATTTCGCCCTTTAATCCAATTGGCACTTCTGCAAGGAGTCGGCATCATCCCCTATCAGCTGAGCAAGCTGGCAGAGGCCGCGGCCGTGTGGGTGGGTTTTGACAGTCCCAGCTGGAATGGCCTCCAAAACCCGTGTTGGTACTTCAGCGGCGCAGTGACTCTAAAGTCCAGCATGTAAGGATAGTTACACCCCCAACCACCTCCCAGGTCTTCATGGCTACTGCGAGCTTTGATCGGCAGGGCATCCGCTTCCAGAGCATACAGGAGCTTCGTTTTAAGATATGCGGGAGCTCATCTAGTATCTAGAACTGTCTTGTACCATCTTGTACCACTGCGATTGGTGCCAGTACAATCTTTTTTTGGGGCTACTTGGAACAGCTCTCGCAACACGTATCATTCGTTAAGCCGTTAAGCTGGATGTTCGAACTTGAGAACAGAAGCCCATGAAGCCCCTGCAGCTCTGGCGAAGTCCCTACCTGTGTCTAGAGCAGCCTGGGACGTGCGGCCGAGATTCACTGGGATCAGGCCAGACTCAAGCGTCATAGAGCCTTCGCTCAGGAATCTCCGGAGAGTTCGGGCCGCCAGTGCGCTTCGTGCAACGCGACCGAGCATCGGAAGGATGCAGCCTTCTGCTGGCGCTGTGGTGCTGTGATGCCTGTCGAGTAGGATAGAATAGCTCAGAAACGACGAGATGCAAATTTTCTGGATGTCATCGCCATCGTCCTCCCTCGTTTGTACAGAAGGCTGAACTAGGTACAGTTCGGTCTGTCCACATCATTACATGCGGTGTTTTCCATCCCTGTGTGGGCAGACTTGACGAAGTTGCAAGTCGCAGCACATGCGGAGCGCGGGCCTAATGCCTGCGTCACCTGCCTAAGCAGACAAATGTCAAACGGCGAGGTCGCAGACATACTGGCCCTGGTCAGCTACAATTCTGAGTTCGCTGTTGGGTGTAGTGCATAAATCTTGCTGCAGCCACAGGTCCGAAGGATAAGTTGAATGTTTTTACGGCAGCCACGCTGGAGTTGTAATCGCTTACACGTCTCCTTGGAAGAGCAGCGTGGACGAGTTTAGGCTTCTGAAGTGGTCAGGCATATTTCATCGTCGTCCAAGCTCGACTGAACTTTGATCTTGCGCCCTTGCGCTCTTCCTTTTGCTTTTCAGCCAAAGGCTCATGCTGAAACTCTAGTCGACTCTAGTGGCAACGGGCGTCAGGGAATCAGACAAGGCTGCTTTCCGACGTATGGCTCTCCGGACTGGTGGCCCAGTTCCTGTACTGCACATCGAGTGTAAACAAGTAGCATTCGCTGTTGAAGAGTTCCGTGGAGGTGCTTACATGTGCTTAGCAAGGCAAGCCCTTGTCGATTCGACCTTGGCTGCTTCCTCGCCCTGGTGGCATCGCCACAAAATCTTGCAAGCTCGCTTCGCAGTGAATCTGCACGCAAACCTTCAAACCCCCGAGCGTCGCCTCAAAAGCGCTCGATGCAAGTCTGGGTTTGTCAGGCTTACCCGACTGCCCGACACCCTTTTTGCCGACGTTCGTTCCTTTGCCAGGGTTGCAGTGCTGTGGCCCTCATAGAGTCGGCTGGCCCCTTAGTTCTTAGACTCTGAAGCCTCTTTCGAGACCCTGGTTCGAGTCAGAAGTCTCCAGCAAAGGCGGTGGTGCACTGCAAGCTGGGCGCTGTTCCCATCCAGGCAGATCCGCTCGGATTCGAACGAAGAGCGGCTTGAAATGGCTTGAACGGTGTCGCAGGGCGCCTCGCTGCAGTTCTTCAGTTTCTTCGAGGGCAGCTCGCTCGGGCCTTGCGGAGCGAACCGTCCACGCAGACATGCGGAGTCCGAAGCCAGAAGCATGTCAATGTCACGGTATGTGACACCCGAGGCCCTCCCATCTGAGCCCAGACATGCCTGCATTGCGCTTTTTGCGAGGAAGCCAAAACACTGGCACCGCACGTGTAGAATGTATACATGGTTCGATCTCCCTGAGTACACATCGAGCATGAGACAAGGGCAGCAGGCGGGGTCACAGCTACGTGACATGAGAAGCCTTGAAGCTTGTCGCACCTGACCCTGAGAAGTATACTATAAAGAATTCACCTTACCCGTCTGAGTGATTTCTGCAAACGCCTTTCAGGTCTGCCAACTTCACGGACCAACAGCTGCGGTCTCGCCTTGTCTTGAACTTGCCATGTGCGGCTTGCAGCATCCAGCGATGTTGCCTATCCACACGAGTATGGTCGCGACAGTAGAACACGCTGAGAGATGCACGACTCAGAGGCGGCCGGGGCCGTCTGCAGCCCCTCGACTGGTTTGTGCCGCCAGGCTGGGTGGAGAAGCGGACAAGCTGGCCTGGCGCTCATGGTGGATGGGGAGGTGGATCTTGTTTGTGGCATGATACGGAATGAGGCTTTTGAAAATGTGCCTCAAGTACTCGTGTGCTCCATGCAGTCTTCTTGCGGTTGCCATGCCTGGTGCGCAGCCCCCTGAATGAAGACTCAGGTGTTGTACGGTCGGTCCAACGATGCGAGTATCTGGCAGCCAGCAAGGGCCTGGGTTGCCACGGCTCGGCAAAGCTGAGATATGAGATAATTTTGGTCATGTCCGCTGTCTGCAGCCTGCTTCTCGCACAATTGAAATTGCCCCCGGGTGATCAGAGAGATCCACCCAGGAAGCTTTTTGGGGACGCCTCGGCTTCCTTGCAGAGCTGGGTGGCATCGAGAGCAGGAGAACGGGGGGAAGTTGGGGGAGGCGGAAGAGTGCGGGCAGGTTGCTTTCTGGGCACCAGGGACTTGGTGACTTTTCGCGGCTCGAAGACAAAATGGGGGGGTTTCCGAAAATAGGGGACCCTAATATAGTACCCTAAATAGTAGGACCCTTATTATAAAGGCCCCAAAATAAGGTACCCCTGATTTTCGGAAACCCCCAAATGTCCCTTCGGCTTTCGCATCGTGTGTTCGCAGTGGTTTCAAGCCTCCGGAGCCTGGGGCGTGCGATAAGTCTTGAGACATTGCTGGTGTCTCCCAATGCTGCGGGCTCATGCCTGCACGGTGGCGTGGCTTCGGGTGGTGCTGCCTCCGATTTTCCTACTGCTAAGCCTGGGGCTCAATAATGAGTCCTCTGATCTCTTGAATTTGGACTGTGCCGTTCCTCAAATGACTCAAACTTCGCATGTTTGTAGAAGGCCTCAACACATAGATGTGAGGCAAACCTCAGGGCCCAAATGTGCTCGCAGGAGTCTTCGCCCTGGTGAAGGACTTCTGGCCGCTTGCATGCAAATTCTTGGGCACAGCGCGTTAGAGACACGGCGCACGGCAACCTCGAAACGTTCACGCTCTGATCGGAAGATATCGGAAGTCATCAGACCTGACGATGCCAAGGAGCATCAGGGAAAAGAGTAAAGTCAGCCTTGTTCAAGCAAAGGCCGTTTTGCTACAAGTGTGCCATCCCAAAGTTTAGCATTTGTTGGGGGGCTTCGGGGTGATTGCTAGCGTGAGAGTGCCAAGCGAGGCCTTAGACACTTCCGAGCTGAATGACCTGGTAATCGTGCGGCGCCTCGCGACTCCCAGGCAAGGAGTGCACACCCCGGCCCTTCGCACCTTAGTGCCTTAGTCTTGCCTCTGGCAGCGGCAGGCCAACAATTCAATTCAGGGATTCGACGATGCAGTGCCGGCCTTATGCTAGCATCTCACGTAGGAAGATTCGTGCTCTGTCGCCCGCAGGGATTCTTGAAACAAGGCAGCGTAGGATTTGAAGACCTGCTACGTCAGCCTGTGAACGACTACCCTGTATCATGCAGGTTTAAAGGGCAATGGTACTATCCGAGAAATTTTCCGGCTGTGCAGAGCCCGGCGCCCAGACATGCATGTAGCGAACACGACAGCAAGTCCGAAGGGCATGGCATGCGACAGACACCGTCTACCGCCCACCCAGGCGCGTGCGCGGACAAAGACAACTCCGTGCTGGTGCCAGCCTTGTCGATCGAGTAGTCATGTCTTCCATGACAGAACTCGCAGCACGCGATACTGACATGTACTTCCTCTGCATAGACAGAGTTGAGAGGAGCGTGAGGGCCCTGTCAATATGCTCATGCCTTGAGCCACTCTCAGGTCCTGCTAAGCAGCAGCTCCGACGCCGATCACGGTACCGGGTGTGGAGCTCACTGGAACGTAGATCCACAAAGCCATAGAATCCATAGAAGTTTCTTTTCTGTCGCCTGCGAGGACAGGACAGACAGGGCATGCATGGAGTGGACAGTCCAAGAAAGAGAGCAAGCAGGTTGCCTGCCATGTCTGCACTGCCACAGCAACGGCTCGCACTGGCACTGTGGTTCTGATCAGAAGTCAAAGAAAAGACCCTGCAGATGCAGAAAATGCAGAAGCCAAGGCCCGGCATCGTCCGGCTCAGGCTCCCAAAGTGATGGAGCCAGGCACCCCGGAGCCATGGGAAAGCTGTAACATGAGGTTTAGGGTTTAGGGTTTAGGGTCGTTCTTGCGACGACAAGAGTGGGAAAGACTGCACGGCAAGGTTCCAAATGAACAAGCCCCGCAACCTGCCAAGCTTTTACCCCAGTCTGAATTCTGGCACCAAGATGCAATGATAGCAATAGACAGTCCTCTAGAAGGGTTCGGCCGATTCAACAATTCCCGTCTACTAAATCGTCCACTGAGAGCTACCCGGTGCTACCCAGCATGATTGGACTGTACTTTCGGGCACTGCCCAGCATGACTCGGTGTTGTGCTGCAGATATTGTAAAGAGCACTACCAAGTGTGCTACCGTACGTTTCAGTCCTCGGTAAGTTTTGACGAAGCACCCTGCGCAACCCAAGCAGGGGAAAGCTGGTCGACTTCAAAACAATATCCAGCAATGCATCTTGCAGGCGAGCTGCCTCCTGAAATTTCCGCCCTGCATGAACTTTTCTTCATATCTTTTAACATGCTCCGCTTCGTTCGATGACGATGCCATCTGTCGCAAGCGGAGAATGGCGGCCGGCAGGTCTGATATTTAAGAGGGCTGGAGCAAGTGTCGATGTGCAAGCAAGTTCTTGGTGGATAAAAAAAAGTGTCCTAAACGTTTTGAAGCTCTTGCGACAGGGCCGAAAATATAATCGGACGAAACTGTGGCAGACCGGCAGACCTCCATGGACTCCTGCGTGACCCGGGTTTGGACATTTGGCGCCTACAAAAGGGCTGCCCTCTGTACTCCGGTGGAATTCGAAAGGCCGGCTTGGTACCAGCTCGATGAGCATGATCCTAGCAGCCGGTATGGGAGTTTCCGAAATTAGGGGTACCTTATTTTGGGGGTCCTTATAATAAGGATCCTATTATTTAGGGTACTATATTAGGGTCCCCTATTTTCGGAAACCCCCGTATGGCTGACGACGAGAGAACCTCGCGAGCCTCTCCCCATGAGGTCATCATGAGGGGTGAGCACTTCTGCAAGGCAGAAAAGCATTGGCGAACCCTGAGTACTTGCCAAAACGACGCCAGTCCGCTGCAGCAAAGGTTCAGGAAACATCTGCATTGAGTTACTGTCTGTCGGTTCAGACTTGGAACTCAGTGGTCCCTGCCTGCGACAGCTCCCCATCAGCAGTGCAAAGTGTTTGGTTGAAGCTCACGGGACGAACGTATCAAGTTGGAACAGTCAGCGGTCCTGGAACTGAACGGCATCGGAATCTCAGGTGCCTTTCAGGCTCTTATGTTCCGTAATTGTAGAGGTGTCATGCTGCCACCTGGCAATGCTGTAGAGCTGGCATCACTTACCATGCTCAACGGCAGTCCTTGCTAAGCTTATGCAGCGGAGGAGACTGGAGCCTGCGTCCTGGACGTCGATCCCCCCACTGCCCGCAACATCCTATCGTGCCCGGTTTGCATGCAGTTCCTTTGCGGTATAACGATAGAGATCTTTGTGTGTTGCACTGCTTCTAGCAGCGTAGACAGCTTTGAACGGTTCTGGGCTTTTCTCTGTATAAAGAAGTGACATTTTTGCAAGCTTGCTCCCGTGAAGACGTGGCTGCTATCTGCAGGCCGCTTGCAGCCCGCAAGTTGCAATAACAGGTACGACTGGGCTCGGGCACTGAAAGCTGCCTATCCAAGCAAGCAGGCGGGGATCATGAGTGTCAAAAGCGGACAAGGTTTGCGGAGGAGGTTCTCGCGTTGTTAGCATCAAAAGTCAGCTGCAGTTGTTCTGAACTCTGACTTGTCGCCCTTTCTTTCGAGCATCGATTGACAGACGGATGGGGTTTGGTGTTCCTACTTGTGCAAGGGTTCCTTACGGCGCCAAGCAGCCGAGTCCATCTCCCGCTGCTTATACTTGAGCTGCCGTCTTTGCCACCTCTCGCCTGATAGTGCTGCTAAGCCAACATCTAAGTTAATGCATGCTAGGGCAAACTGCCTTGCCATTGGTGCAATTGTTTTCTGCTGTCTGTATGGAAATGCGTACTGCTGGCGCTGCTTTCTTTTGCTATCCATTGCCCTGAATCATGCACCTCGGCATCTTTCGACCTTGGTCTAGTAACTCTGGTAAATATTTATGCTGCTGCGGCTGCTGTGCTGCAATGTTCAATGTCTTCTCATATGCTTGGATGGACTGTACGACTGTACGATTCGGATCGCTGGCCAGGTGTTCGAGGATATGGTTTGGCTACACGCCCTTGCCGGCTTCAAACCTAAAGATCCCCCCTTGCCGCATCAGCAGTCAGACATCTCTCCAGGCGAGACTAATTTAAGATCCGAAAGGATTGCTACTGATTGGGGAACCGCACTTAGCTCTTCCATGCTGCGCCACGGTCGGACACGCCCCATTGGCCTGCAAGCAAAGCCTGTCGAAAGGTCGAGCTTCGGCTTGTGACTGTTTGGGCAGCTGCCTTACCATTTCAAGGGGAGCTCGTGACCAATTTGGTTTAGAGCGGCGGAACGCCGCGGAGCAACAGAAGTGGTGCCCAATGTGGAGTGTCTCCACCTAGGAGGGTACAATTGCTTTGCCAGTTCGCGGCGTTCTGGATGTTACAAAGACAGGCTATCCTCCATTACCGGCTGGAGTCAGGTTACCATGAAGACTTTGGACGACATCCTGGATCGAAACCAACGCCGCCTGGAGGCTGCACACCTACTGGTATACAGTTGAGTGCCCTTGTTTCCTTGACATCGGACTTGCGCGACACGTGCGTGTGTATATTATGTACTGTACAGATACACCTTTGTATATTATGCGGGCGGGCAACGGGTCAGCAACCGGGCAAGGGCGGGGGGCGGGTGGGTGCGGGCAAAGGAGGGGGCAGGTCGGCCCGTGTGGGCATGGGCGGACGAGGGGCGACGGGCGGGGCGGGTGGGCGGGGTGGAGCGCGCGGCGTGGCGGGGCAGCCGGGCGGGCGGGCGGGCATCCGAGCTCGTTTTCACCGAAGTGCGCCTGAGATGTTTCACTAAATTTCTTGCTTTTGAAGATGGGGTGCAGGCTCAGGGGCTGCTTGACTCGGCCGGGAGCTCCAGAAAAACCTTGCAGATCTCACATTGAATGTCCCGAGTCGGCAAGCAACGCTCACAAAAGCACCTCCTTCCCAGGTGGTTCGCAAGCAGCTCGGTCCTTTGCGCACGCAGGTGCGCATGAATCAGTTCAGACTGGTGCTGATGGAGATTGCTACAGCTTGCTGGATCAGTCGTTGCTGCTCTGGGTCTGACTTAGTATACGTTGCGAAAATGCCGCCCCAGTGCACGTAATGCGAACACTGTGGTGGCGGAGAACCTAAGTACTGCATGTTGCTTCCGGTTGGAAATCGGGTTGTGTGCTTGGGTTCGATTCGGGCAAGCATTTCACGAGTTCGTTGAAGCGAGCAAAGGTACGATTGATATTGGGCTGCCCAAAAGCCACCTTGTGTCAGAGCTTCCACTACTGGCTGGTGATGTAACAATAGCAGTTAGTGGTGGTGGTAGCAGCAGCAGCAGCAGCGACAGCGGCAGTGGTAGTGGTAGTCGTTGTCGTAGCTGCAGCAGCAGCAGCAGCAGCAGCAGCAGTAGCAGCAAGCGGAGGAGTAGTAGAAGAAGCAAGCAGTAGTAGCAGTAGCAGCAGTCCCAGTCCCAGTCCCAGTCGCAGTCGCAGTCGCAGTCGCAGTCGCAGTCCCAGTCGCAGTCGCAGTCGCAGTCGCAGTCGCAGTCGCAGTCGCAGTCGCAGTCGCAGTCGCAGTCGCAGTCGCAGTCGTAGTAGTAGTAGCAGTAGTAGTAGTAGTAGTAGTAGTAGTAGTAGTATAGTAGTAGTAGCAGTAGTAGCAGCAGCAGCAGCAGCAGCAGCAGCAGCAGCAGCAGCAGCAGGAGTAGTAGTAGTAGTAGTAGTAGTAGTAGTAGTGCAGTAGCAGTAGCAGTAGCAGCAGCGGCAGCAGCAGGTCACACAACCAGTATCAACAAGTAATGGTGAAGGCAACAGAAGAAATCCCCAACTCCTTAATGCATCGACGATACAAAAGCTGCCCAGACCCTAAACCCCAAACCCTAAACCCCAACAGTCTCTCCGGCAGGGGATCGAGCCCGCAAGCCAGGCCTCGACGCGACGGTGAAAGCTGCCTGATGATGAGCTCACGGCCTCCACAGCACACTGCACATTGCAATCAAGACACAAAGCAAGCACACAAGCAACGGGAGGTGTTGAATAGTTGGCCACTGTAGTAAGCATAAAGAACACGCACACAAAACAAGCACGCGCACCCGCACGGACACGCACAAGCACGAGAACCATAAATTGCAAGCAGATGTAACAGGCAAACATACAAACACAAGGACCCCATGGCGATGTTGACCGTCGTTGCTGATGTTGCTGTGGCTGTCCCTGTTGTTGCTGCTCGTGCTTTGGCGCTGATGCTGGTGCTGATGCTAGGACTGCCCGGGGTGGCGGTGGTGGTGGTAGTGGTGGTGGTGCCAATGCCAACGAGTCCGATAATATCCATAGCCCCATCTGCGATGCCCAGAATTGGAGCGTCTTGTGAGACTCACTTGGATTCTGGGATGGCATGTGCAAATTTCTTTCAGGTCATCACTCATAACCCCTGCCGAGAAGACCACAGGAGCAGTATTGTACAGGCATGCAGCCTGTACTCATATAGAACGCTTACACAGTCCGATGATAGTAAACAATAAACGCACTAAACCCCACACCTACAAAAACCCTAAACCCCAAACCTACAAAAACCCGAAACCCTAAACCTACAAAAACCCTAAACCCTAAACCTACAAAAACCTGAAATCCTAAACCTACAAAAAACCCTAAACCCTAAACCCGTCTGAAGCAACTGTTGGCCTCTAGCTGCATGCGCCGCAGCTTTTCTTTCGAAGCCTGCGGCCGGATGCTTGCGCGGGAGTCAGGACCAATACTTTCTTGCTTTAGGGATCCCTTTGTTAGGGTTTAGGGTTGGGGGCTAGGGATCCTTTTTGTTAGGGTTTAGAGCTTAAAAATCCCTTTGTTGAAGGTTCCTGTCAGGATTCTTGTAATGGATCTACGAGGGTACAAGAATAATGGGGCTGAGGATTTAGAGTTTGAGTATGTTATGGACACTCTTTCGTTCTAAGGGCTTAAGATGGGGATCGCTACCATGATCCCTGTTAGTCCGAAGTGCCCCAAACCTGCAAGGAACCCTTCAAGGAACAAAAGCCTAAACCCGCTAAACCCTGAAATGCCTATAAACCCCGCCTTGTAGAAGTCTTCTAGAAGCCCGTTTACTTGGAGGATCATGGGACTTCGTAAGTCGGGTTATAAGTACCTTAATTGGGGTTATAAGTAATTATCAGTATAAATACCTTGTTTATAGCCCCAGTGACTAAGTCCCATGATCCTTTAAGTAGGACCGCTTAAAGGATCCTTCAAGGAGCATTACACCTCTAAGCTCCACCTCGTGGTAGCCTTATAGAACCTTGTGGGAACCCTTTCAGGACCCCTTATGCCAGGATCATCCCTGAGAGGATCCTTTCAGGGATTAAGGTTTAGGGAGCCTTCCCTGTAGCAGAGCAGCTCGCCAGGCTTCCAAACTGAACGACCCCGTGCAACACACTGCCGGATAAACTCATCAGTCCAACACTCCAGGGGCGAACATACGAGCCGCTTCCTTCACAGATTGCCCTTAAAGGAACATATGAGACCCGGAACCTGTTGTATTCTAGAACCCTGTAGTACCAGGAGCCCTCGAAGGAACATATAAGACCGTAAATCCCAAACAGTCCTTCAGGTGTAAGGAGCTCTTGAAGGAATAGGTAAAACCTAAGCCCCAGAGTACCCCCATAGGGACGTAAGGGAACACATAAGACCCGAAACCCTTATAACCTCTACTAGTAAGACCCTAAACTCTAAACCTAAACCGTCCTTAAGGTGCAAGGAGGCCCTGTAAGGAATATGCAAAACCCACCCTGAACCCTAAACCCTAAACCCTAAACCCTATACCCTGAACCCTAAACCCTAAGGAGGTCTTCCTCGGCCCTGAGTCTGTACATCGCCGCGGACTGCTCGGCGCGGGCGGCGGCGGCACCTTCGATCCTTGGGGCGCGGTACAAAGGGGCGTTAAGGGTTTAGGGTTTAGGGTTTTAGGGTTTAGGGTTTAGGGTTTAGGGTTTAGGGTTTAGGGTTTAGGGTTAAGCCCCAAGGTTTAGCCTAAATGAGGGAATGGGTTATATTGGGACTACTATAAGGAGACCTTGAGGAGCTATCATAGGGATCCGTTCCCCCATTCCCTACGAAGCACCAGACAGTGTGGGTTTAGGTTTTTGGGTTTAGTGGTTTGGGGTTGTTTCGGGGTGTAATGACGTCTTTTATAGGGTCAGGCTTCAGGGTTTAGGGAGGAAAGGGCTTTAAAAGATTTGCATTGGGGTTGTACAGGTTTACCTAAACCCCCCAGAATCAAGTAAAATAATGGCCCAAGACCTATAAACGGCTATTATTCTACATACTCTTTGGGGTCCAGGTAGGACTTACGGCTTAGGATTTAAGTTTAAGGGCTGTAAGACGTCGTGGGTGTAACCAGGACCAGGCGGTAGGGGGTTGGAGCCGGTACTCCTCACAACAGTGACGCCCCTAACCCCTGACACGAAATGCTTTGGCGCTAAGAAGAAGAACTCCCTTGAGGACCAAATGACCCTTAAAAGTAGGGGCCTCTTTCCCATATATATATATATATATTAATATTATGAACCCCTATATGGTATATGAACCTTAAACCCTTTTAGGGTTCATTTCGTCCCTAAGGGATGGGACGTGCTTGCCGCGAGCCCCCCTGAACACTACGCCTCCCCAAACCCGACACTTTATAAACTCTACCCAGAGGCCCCATAGTAGTTGCTTTTTGTGGTTTGTATTTAGGATCCTATTAGGTAATCCCAAAAAGGAACTGCTATATGGGGCCTATGGGTATCCTAACTCCTAAGCCCAAAGCGGTAGAAGCCATGAACCGCGGCTTTAAGCCGAAACGTCGCGAAGGATAAGGGGTGTAGGGTGATCAACATCCCCGGAAGCATGTCAACGAGCCCAAGCAACAAGAAGCAACATAGCAGGTTTAGGGTTTAGGGTTTGGGGTTTAGGGTTTAGGGTTTGGGGTTTAGGGTTTAGGGTTTAGGGCTTAGGGTACTCAACCCTAAACCCTAAACCCTAAAAGCCCTTTGCCCAAACACTCATAGAATCATCGAGCCCTCAGAAAGCCTTATCGAACCCTGCATAGAAACCCGGAAGAAATCCTTTTAGCTTTAGAGAAAGGCCTGTTGCATTCAGAACTCAGAACGGATTAGGATTTAGGGTTTAGGTCAGAAACTACAGCCCCAAAACTGATTCCAAAACCTTTCCAACCCTAAACCCTAAACCCTAAACCCTAAACCTTTCCAACCCAAAGAGCCAACACGACCTTCAGGCCTCAAGATCGAGGACCTGTAAAACCTAACCCACCCAGAAGGCTTTAGAACTTTTAGGGTTTAGGGTTTATAGGGTTTAGGGTTCAGGGTTTAGGGTTTAGGGTTTAGGGTTTAGGGTTTAGGGTTTAGGCATGGTCGCTTGCTGGATGGCCAAGAGTCTCTGCCGCGCGTTTCGCTTGTTCTCGCCGCTCTGGGTCCACCTCACCCAGCCCCTATCCTTGACCCTACACCCTAAACCCTAAGCCCCAAACCTACACCCTAAACCCTAAACCCTTAACCTACACCCTGAACCCTAAACCCTAAACCCCAAACCTACACCCTAAAGCTGAAACCTGGCTTAGGGCTTGGAGCTCTGGGGTATACTGGTCCTTTTGTGTAGGGCTCCCGCTTGAAAGAGAGGGGTCACGGGCCCTGGGCACAAGACCGCCCGGAAACACGAGTCACTGTGGCACGGAGAAGCAGCAACACTGATTCACCTTGTTTCGACTGATATCAGCTGCAAACGTATACTCATCTGTAGCCGGTGGTGGTTTACTCACAAACCCACATGCATATTGATTCAAAGTACGCCAAACTCTGCTGAAATCATTAAGTTGAAGCTCTGACAATTAGCACCAGGCTGGCGTTGGCTCTAGGGGGAAGGATATGGACATTTGCAAGTATAGCAGTAGTAGTGACAACGCGAGCAAACATCCAGAACGTTGTATAGGGATGGCCTCTTAGCG